GTGACAGGACAAGGGGTAACGAGTTAAAACTTAAACAGGGGAAGTTTAGGTTGGATATAAGAAGGAAATTCTTTCCTGTTAGGGTGGTGAGGCACTGGAATTGGTTGCCCAGGGAGGTTGTGAATGCTCCATCCCTGGCAGTGTTCAAGGCCAGGTTGGACGAGGCCTTGGGTGATATGATTTAGTGTAAGGTGTCCCTGCCCATGGCAGGGGGGTTGGAACTAGGTGAGCTTAAGGTCCTTTCCAACCCTAACGATTCTATGATTCTAACTTTGGTGAACTCAATCACAGCTTTTGAGCGACCTAATTCACCCAAAAACTTGAATGGTCTGACACAACAGCAACAGCACAAAACCTGTAAAATTACAGAGCTATCCAATGGTCTGGGACTGCACCCACTTCCATTTGCCTTTAATGCTTAACAGCTACAAAGGCCACGAGGTTTGTTTCCTAACCCTATGACTGTCCGGATCTTACCACAGAATTCTGGGTATTAGACAACAAGATAATGCATCACAGAGAATACGCAGAGCTCTAGTGAAGGGGGATTTAGGTGTTTTTTGGCATTTCTACCAGGCTGGAGGTCATTCAGTGAGTAGCAAACATGTCACCATTTTACAAATAATTTTCAATCCTTAGTGTTAGAAGAAAGAGAACATTAAGGAAGAACTTCAAGCCCCAAGCATTTAAAAAGGAATATGGCGATATAATCCTCTCCGAGATAACCTGCTTACAGTCAGTAACACTGCCAGCAACACTGCCAGCAAAAGACATACAGTAAAGCAAGAGACAATCAAGCCTGCAGAATGATGGAAGATCATTCACAACATATTGTTACTTCCTCTTGTTCTCTTCGCTTTAAATTCAATGCAGAATTTTATAGTCCCCTTGCACAAAGGAACAGCTATATATTTCCATATAATTCTGAAGTCCTTTGTCCTATTTGTTGTGGCATTGTCTCACATGACATATAGATGACCTTGCTTCAGGGGGATGAAGCTACACACCCTCTTCTCAGCAGACTGAGTCTTAAATCACTAGCTCTTGATGCAGCACAGTTCAGGAGTGCATTTGGTCACAGGACTCAGGAAGAGAAGAATAGTGACTGGCAGAACCAACTCTCACTGGTAGCACAGGCTCCCTGTCAGTCATAGGAAGCTCAGCTCCAACAAACCCTCTGCAAGGCACAGAAGAGACCAGAAGGACCAGATTTGCTGGTTCTTTGTAGTCCCTCCACCTCAACAAGACAAGACATAACACTCATACTGAGAGCTGTTGGATTATAAACTGAGGAAGACATCCTCCTTCTGCATCACTCCACTTGATAAAACCAATCATGAGCTGCACTTTAAGGACTGTGCAAGGCAAAGAATTATTAAACACATCTGGAGATACATGAGAATCCAGGCCATGTTATGGCACACAATGTAAAACGTTGCTGTGAGAAAACACAGCTTAGTAAACCAGCACTCTGCCCGTCTGAAAGTCTCAAGTGGTATTCCAGGGCAACTTTATTAGAGGATGCTACAGAACTTACACTGTTAATCAGACACAAGCATCACAAGCATAGCATACTCAGCTCCTAAAGTTCACAGTATTAAAATAATAAATTAGAAACACTTGTATCTCTGCAGAAATGCCTGCAGCACAGTCTGAGACAATCAGCAGGAGGCAATGAGAGTGCAAAAAAAGGGTATAAACAGCAGGAGGTTAATGTCTAGCCTATAGCAGGATACCCCAGAAGAAACAAAGCTACTCTTGTCATGATTCACAGGCCCATAGTGTGGTATCATTATGAGCCTTCTGAAACAGCTGTTTCAGAGCTTCACCCTATGAAGCTTCTGCCTGACCCTTTCACAGCAGCATACAGGACTTCAGGGTGAACCCCTGTGAGACTTTTTAACAGTTTCATTTCATGAGAAAATAAGAATATATGTTTCAGTATGCAATACTCATACTCAGAGCTTAACCCCACTTCAACTTCTATCTTCTTACCCATTCTAAACTACATTAGGCAAATCAACACAGTTCTGAAGCCCACAGCACAGTGTTCCGACTGTTGCGCAGTGATTTTCAACTACGCTCCAGCTGGCTGACTGAATAACATTCAATGTCCCTGAGTACATTAGTTAGCACAGCAGTTCTCAAATATCTACTGCCTGGACTTCAATCAGGTGCAATATAGGGAAACGTGCAATCTAAATAAGAAGTAGCCCTAACTACACTGACTAAAATTACCAAAATGCATGTGGACCTGAAATTATAATTCAGGTACCTAATATTAGGTTCCAAACCTATGTTTTATTCTTTTCCATATAAATATCAGCACCACTTCTGAACACCTTCAAAAAAGAAATATAAAATAACTAATAACCTCCAAACATAGCTGTCAAATCTTTCCCATTCTCCTCACCATAAGGTGCCACTGTGTTTGCACATATGGTGGGGATGCTTTAGAAAGCATCCAGAAACATAATATACATTGCTAATGTACATTTATGCTATTGAAGGCAAGGAAACAAGGCCTGTAGTACTCCAATGTCCTCACAAGAGTTTATTTTGAAACCTCACATCAAGCCTCTAAGGAGCATCATGTTCTACACAAATTAGCTTTGTATTATTTGGACGTTTACATACATATCCCACTGAAGCAAACAAATGAAGGAACTACTGATAATTCCTCGCAAAGAATTTGGGAGCCTCATTTCACCCACTCAACTCTGAAAACTGTATTTCTGAGTTCCCCAAGTAGGATACCAGATTTTAAACTATGAAATTGCCAAATCTGCTCAGCCTTGCAGACTTTGAGTAGGCTAAACCAATCGGAAGTGCTGGTAATGAATGTCTGTAACGACAACAAGGATCCTGATGCAGTACCACTTGGCATTTCACAGTCACGCTATCCTGTGTAACCAAGTCAACTCATGTACTTGTAGCAGCCATTTTTTCAGATGAAGCAGGCTTCCTGACACTCAGCTGAAGCCTCTGGTCTGAGAAGCCTGCGAGTCATTTGACAACTGTGAAAAAACACCCAAATCTTCACTACCAATCAGACATAACCAAAGGGGGGGAGGGGGGGCAACCCAAACAACAACTGGTGGAAACTGGGGATGTGCAGTAACCCTAACATCATACAAATGCCTATCAAAAGCAAATGGCTTAGAATATAAATAGTGATGCCGGCTCTTACCCAGGGATAAACTCTTAAGGTACATTTTTTGTCTTGCCTTACTATATACTTAATAAGTAATTAGTCCTCATTTCTACAAGAGCACATTATGCTGCAATAAATCAAACCTCACCTATGATTATCTCACCCCCGTGCTTATCACTTCTTTCTACCCAAAGCAGTGATGCATCTCAAAATACATACAGTCAAATATACATTTCTGGCTCTGAACACATCCTGAAAAAAAATTTAAAAATTAGAGCAAAATGCAATTAAAAAAATATATATACAGGAAAGAGTTTGAACATGTTCTTAGACTGCTAGCTGTAAAAAAATATTGAACTGCTAAAAGCATACATTCTGTTATAACTCTTCCCTTCCTCCAGATCTTGCTAGTGAATAAAGAACACAGACCTCACCACGGCAGCTTAAGCTGCAGTGACAGAACAGAGCAGAAAAGAGCAGCGCAAGTCAGATTTCAGCCACTATGCCAAAATGTTTTCTTACACAGCTTTAAAGTCACATTATAGAAAGATAGAAATATTTACTGTTTATAATGGTATAACTGAATAGCAAATCAGGTCATACTGAAGTAGATACTGCAATGACATAGGGAATAAAAGGTACCTATTCCAAACAGTGTACAAGCTACTAAAATCATAGAATGGTTTGGGTTGGAAAGGACCTTAAAGCTCATCCAGTTCCAAACCCCTGCCACAGGCAGGGACAGGTTCCACTAACAGCAGGTTGCTCCAAGCCCCATTCAACCTGGCCTTGAACACTGCCAGGGATGGGGCAGCCACAGCTTCCCCTGTGCCAGGGCCTCATCACAGATTAACAACTTTTTTCCTAATACCTAATCTCAATCTCCCGTGTCAATTTAAAGCCATTCCCCCTTGCCATGTCAGTATATGCCCTTGTAAAAAGGTCCCTCTCCAGATTTCTTGTCAGCCCCCTAATTTAGGCACTGGAGCAGCTCTAAGGTCTCCCCTTAAGGAGCCTTCTCTTCTCCAGGCTGAACCAGCCCAGCTCTCTCAGCCTGGCTCCAGAGCAGAGCTGCTCCGGCCCTCACAGCATTTCCGTGGCCTCCTCTGGACTAGCTCCAGCAGCTCCACGTCCCTCTTGTGTTGTTGCCCCAAAGCTGCAGTATGGGTCTCATGAGAGCAGAGGGTGAAAATCCCCTCCCTCGACCTCCTGGTCATGCTCCTTTTGATGCAGCCCAGCACACGGGTAGGGGGTGGATGTTCTGGGCTTAAGCGTACAGTGAAGCTGGCTCATGTTGAGCCTCTCCTCAGCCAACACCCCCAAGTCCTCCTCCCCAGGGCTGCTCTCATTCAATCCAGTCTGCACCCAGCCTGTAGTTGTGCTTTAGACTGCCCCGACCCAGGAGCAGGACTTTGCAACAGATGAGTCTGGGTTTACTACAGGTGCTCTGTTCTCAAGAGATAACAAGGCTAATGCTATATATTAGTAATGCTTGCCTCTCAGGCCTCCAAAATAACACACAAAACCAGACCACTCAAAAACAGCTTAGTAAAACCTCAAGAAAAACCCCAAACCAAGCTCTAACGCTTAGCGTTGCAGAACTGAAGAGGCAAGCAGGGAGGAGCGCTCAGGCAGGAGCCTCTGCCGGCAGGGCAAAACCTCGCACGCCAAAAGCACACCAAGCACCGAGGGCTCCTTGCCAAGGGATACGCTTCACTGACAGCACAAGAAACCTACGGCGAGCTCACTAAAAGTACCAATTAAACCCAAAGGGGGTGAAATTTCAAACACCAGTTTGAAGCAAGAGGGGGTTAAATGATCACAAATCGGTGGATGAAACACAGACCGACTGAGGCGCGGCAGACTCGGGCCCGGCCCGGAGGGCGGCCCCTTACGGAGAGCCAGTGGCTGCGCAAGCACAACGCTACACCTCCAGAACCGGAGCGTTCCAAACCTAGCACGCACAGGCGACAGGGGAGGGCGTCTTTGCATCTCGGCAGCGTCACCGGCTGCCCCCAGCGCAGCGCTGGAGCCGCCCCGCCTCACTCCGCCCTCCCCTTCCTTGCCCCCCCCCCCCCCCGTCCCCTCACGGCGGGCGGGTGGCGGTGCGCGGTACCGTACCGGCGGGCAGGAGGCAGTCCAGCGGCGCGAGTGCGCGCTCCATGTCCGCCCAGCCGGCGGCGGGGGAGAGCCCTGAGCCAGCGCGGCGGGAACGGGGGAGATGAGGGACACACAGAGCCAGGCGGGAGGGACTAGCGGTGCTGCCGGCCCTTCTTCCCTAAGGAACTGCTCCTCCCATCGGGCACCTGCAGCCGCGCGCCCGGGGCGGTGCGTCTGACCCGGCGGGAAGAGGGGGTGTGGAGGTGAAAGGCAAGAAGAGAGAATCGATCGCCGTCGCCATCCGTTGCTCGGCGATGGATTCAGCGGCGGGAAGGCGGGGCAGGGGGAGCGGCTGAGCGGCGGCTGCCCCCGGGGCCTGTGCTGAGGGGGAGCGGGCGGCTCAGGGGCAGTGCGGGCACCGAGGGGCGGGAGAGGTGCGGCCGTGCACTCCCGTCCCAGTGCGGGCCTTCACCTCTGCGTCCTGGGGCTGCGGTTCCCGCCGCCCTTCCGTGACGCTTCCGGCACCGGAGCAATGCCGGCTCGCTACGGCGGCGTTTAGGAGGACGATGGCGTGCTCGCTTTTTCGCCTTCTGAAAGCGCGGCCGCGTTGAGTTCCTTTTCATTGAACATTTAGAGCGCGGAGGGGTCACTTATGGCGGAGCGATGGGCACCATCAGTAAAAATACCTGCATGTCACTGTCGGGACTGGAAGTGTTCTGCTTTGAGAGCCGGTGACGGACGGCTCGCTCAGTACCAAAGTGGTTGATAGCTCTCGGTCCGCTGAAACTGAAACCAAAACAAGCGTACCCAGCGTGCTTCCCCAGCCCGCAGTGCGCGGAGCTCGCCCCGCACCGCCACCGCAGGCTGCTCCCCGGCCCGGCCCCACAGCAGAGGGCAGCAGAGCCCGCGGCTCCGGTCCCCCCGCGGCGCGGCGCCGAGCGGGTGCTTCGCAGAGGCACCCTGGGGTGGGACAAGGCGGGAGGGTGAGGTCTCGGTTTGGAGGTGTTTGGAGGATGACGTTGTGATATGAAAAGGACCCGCGGGTGCTGACTGTCAGAGCTGAGCATGAGCAGCTTGTGTCCAGGCTGCCAAGAAGCCAACAGCACCCTGGTCTGTATCAGCAGTCGTGTGGTCTGCAGGGCCAGGGCAGTGATTGTCCTGTGCTGGGCACCGGTGAGGCCGCACCTTGAATCCTGTGCTCAGTTCTGGGTCCCTCACTACAAGAGAGACATTGAGGTGCTGGAGCGTGGTCAGAGGAGGGCAAAGGAGCTGCTGCAGGGCCTGGAGCACAAGTGTGATGGGGAACGGCTGAGGGACCTGGAGGGTTTAGTCTGGAGAAGAGAAGGCTCAGGGGGGACCTTACCATTCTCTACAGCTGCCTGACAGAAGGATGCAGCCAGGAGGAGGCTGGTCTCTGCTCCCAAGTGATGAGTGACAGGACAAAAGGAAACGGCCTCAACCTGCAGTAGGGAAAGTTTAGACTAGGATATTAGGAGAAATATCTTCCCCAAAGGGTGCTCAGGCATTGGAACAGCCTGCCCAGGGAAGTGGTGGAGTCACTGTCCCTGGAAGTGTTCAAAAAAGATGTAGATGAGGCTTTTAGTGATCTGGTTTAGTGCTGGATTTGGCAGTGCTGGGGGACCAGCTGAACTCAATCTCCAAGGTCTTTTCCAACCCAGTTGACTCTATAGTTCTGTGGTAGTTGATATTTCCAGTCAGCTGGGAGAGAAGAGGAGCCAACAAGTCAGCCTGCTACTCTGTCCACACTCAGGGATTCATACTCAGATCAACAGAATTTAAGTGACTCCAGTGTGGGGTTAGGATGGGCCATGTTTGTCCTGCATGATACCAAAAGTCTATAGTGGCTGCAGGTGCGTCTTGGGTCTGAATGGTGCAAGCACTAGGCCTCTGCTTTGGCCCTCTTGGATAAGGTGTCTTGCTACATATAAGAGATTATACTCTAAAAGCAGCCTGGGTCTACAAAGACTGACAAATTCAGAAGCATTGGAAGTGTTCATGTCTTGACAATGAGAGAAATTAGAGGAAAATATATTAAGGACATCAAGAGGTAACTGTCATTTAACACTACAGAAATCGAAAGTGGTTTGTTTCACTTTTGTCTCATTTGAAAGTTTTCTTCCCTCTCCACTGAGAACTTGAATTTCAAACACTATTAGGGACTTTGATACCATCCCAGCATCATTCTTTAAGCAGGTTAACCGGCATCAGGAAGCAGCAGCTTGCCCTCCCTCCCAAGAAGAGGCCATAGGGGGACTGCCATGCAGCTGGTTTGTGCTCTCCTCCTCTTAGCTGTCTCCTCTTCCATACTGTCTCTTTTTTTTTTTTTCAGTTTTGCCAGGCACTTTCCTAGCACTGTGTAAAGCTATTAAACCTTCTCCAGGATAGCTTATTTTTCTTCAGTATCTGTCAGTGTCTCTGATTTCCTGGTTTTATTTGTTCTTGGGGAGTACCATCTGGTATAGGTAGTTGCTGATAAGGAGGAGTGGCTTCTTAGGCATGAGAACAGCCATACCCACTCAGAGGGAAGATCCATCCAAGCCAGGGCCCCATTACTGGATAGTGTTCATTTACAAGCCTTCCTCCTCTTTTTTGCTTCTCTTAACATACTGCTTTTTTTTTTTTCTGTAAATGCAAGAATATCCATATCTCTGCTCTCTTCATATCTGACAAGATGCTTTTTCCATCTCTGCCCGGCCTGGAGTTCCAGGCAGTCCTTTACCAGCCACAGCTGCAAAAAATTGCACCTTTTTCTGCTAATCACAGCAATGTGTGATTCATCACAACAACAGCATTACAGACAGAAGTCAGTCTTGAGAGAGCAGGCTGGCACTGGTATCCTTTAAATCCTTTCAAGATGCTCAAGGGTCTGCAAGGTACGGCAAACTGCCAGCCCACCCCACAGCTAGGCAAAGGGCAAACAAGTCAGATGTGCTTTCTCTCCCTTATCTCTGGCTTTCTTTCACTGCCCTGTCTCTCAGGTACAAACCTCTCATCCACAGTATAAAGCCCTTTTTAAGAGTCATCTCTACAGGAATAGTTTATGTTGATGCTGAAATGCGCTGATCTCTAAGGCAGGGCCTGAAACTATTTAATACTGTTTAGCAGAGCCTAACAAAGGTATCTAGTGGAAGAAGTTTCATAAAGGCAAAATGAGTAACTACCCAGCCTGGCATACTCTCCAACAATGAGCAGTACGGACACTGATGTACTTCTTTGAAGAAGTACTTTCACCTGCTTTTTACACTTCTGTGATAGGACATCGGTTGAATTTCCCTGTGAGGAGCTACCATCTAACAAACTAGCGACAGCTTTTTTCCTGTCAAAACGGAGGAAATTCCTCACTAAATATTAGGCCTGTTTTTCCAGGTAGCATATAAGATTCAGAAATATTTCTTTTCCTCTAGCTGGACCTCAAACCAAACCCCTGTTCTTTTCCTCGGCATGTATATGTCTACATCACTTTGCAAGGTCTGCAGAAGAACATACAGGGAGGCTATTCAAGAAAGACATCCCAAGAGCACTGATCTTGTGCTTTGATTACTGCTGTCTCCTCTGATTAGCTAAAAGGAGGGCAGGTGACCTCAACCCTAAGTAAGAAAATAAACAGGCAAGCAGATGTAGCTCCTGAGTGACAGATGAGGCTGTCTGACAGAGCAGGTTCCTGAATGATTTGCAGGAAAGGCTGAGGGAGTGTTCAGACTTTTTAACCTCCTCTGGTAACCAGCCAGCCAGTCATGCCTCTCACCTGATAATATTCACCATTAATTTTGCACAGACTTGATGACTGGTCTGTGTATGCAGAAACTGCCATTTACATATTTTATATATATTTATATATGTAAAAATTATTCTTATCAGATTCCAGTTAGCTTCCTCTTCTTTTAGGAAAACTATTCAGAGAAGCAGTCATTCATACAGAAGCAGCTTCTGTAGAGCATAGTTATGACTTGACTAGCACTGCACTTCAGCATGACTAAAACTGATCAGATGGGAAGAGCTGAAGGGTTATTAGCAGGGCAGCAGCTTTTATTTACTCAGAACATCTTCTGAGACTTGGCAAGGAAAGAAGAGGGAAGTCAGCATGAATTGCAAGGGGATTTAAATGGGATTTATACAACAGGGCTAAAGCCTGCAGGGTCTGCTGTGTTTCCCTAGGATGATCAATAGTCAGGTAAACAGCTGAGGCTAATTTATAGTAGCATTAGTTGCTTTTAGAACTTTTTTCCTTCTTTGAAATCGCCCAATCTAGTTGGGACTGCAAGGTCTAGAGGTATTTAAGGATGTTGTCCAACAAAATGATAGGACCTGTCTCTAGAATTCACAGCATAATGTCCCTTCCCTAGACCAAAGACAAATTGGTCTGGTAATGCCAGACATCATCATCTAATGGTTTATTTTTTGTCCATTCCCTTTTGCCATCCTTCACCCAGAACAGGAGTCCTGTCTCTCTGCTTGACTTTTGGTACTGTTCAAAAACTATGGCAGATCTCAGTAACTGGGAACGTGTATCTGAAGCCTTTTGACTGGAAAGTAGGTAGACTCAAAATTACCCAAGTACCTTCAGAGGTCCCTCTTGGTGACTTCTGAAACAAGCTGCTTGTAAAGTATGGGTATTTGTTCCTCCTGCTATTCCAATTTTATTGCTAAACTAGAACAGTCTGTACAAGACTGGCAGTCAGGTTTTGTGCAGTGTATAGATGTGAAGAATATTTTCTCCTTCTCTCCACAGGCTAACTTTATATTAAAATGAACCAGTGTTAAAAGTAACGAGTTGGGATGGTTCATTCTGGTACCTATTCCAGTATTTGTGCAGAATAATAAGGTTAGGAATGTTTAGCTAGCTCAGCTATCTGCCTGAATATCCCTAAGTACTTTATAATTGAAAAAAATGCAGGCATCAGTGGATAAATGGGATGCTTTATTATAGACATTATATCCTTGCAATTCTCCTGTGCCAACAATTCAAGTCCCCATAACCTCCTTAAAACCCAACCACCAATTTGAAAGGTACAATCATTCAGGGAAGAAAAAAAGACAAACAAACAAAAACCTACACACAGTCAGCACTACATGCAGGCAGACAGAATCTAACACACACACTCTTCGAGTCCAGGTCCTGGAACAGTTAATAGAGCCAACTTCACATTTGTTTCAACAAGTCCTGAGGAGATGATAATACATTAAAAGAAAAAAAAAAAAAGAAAAAGAAAAAAAAAGTAGTATTAAGTGCAACCTATTTCTGTAGTGGTGTAGAGCAGACTGGAGATAAACCTTATGGATTGTATCGAGACACACAGTAAAGCAGAAGAAAATGATGGTAGGATAATCCTGTGGCTCACTAGGCAAGACACTGCATTCAGAAGAGCCGAGTTTTAATCCATGCTGTACTACTGACATGGGTAGACAGAATCAAACCACACAGATCTATATCCTCAAGTATGGATCAATTTAGGAACTAACTTATCTTGGAGAGATCTGGTTTGTAGCATTCTACGCCTTTGTTTCCTCATCTGTACAACAGCATCAATGAAGTATACCCATACTTTTAAATCAACCTGAGATCAACAGCCAAATACAAATAAATCTGTATTACTAATGAATGGACAGATGGCATTTGTTTATCAAGCTATTCTATACAAATTGAGAAGATTTATTTTGCTAATGAACAATATTCTGTCATGAAGATGAATGCAGGATAAACTTTGGAAAGAGATTGTGTATTGAAGTGATAACTTTTAGAAATAAAGAATTTTTACTTAAGCAGCTGCTATCAACTCACTATGGACAAATTCAAACAGAGATTGTGCAGTCTAATAGCTATGACTGTATTCTTTGTGGAGTGAGGAGACTATGCAGATGGCAGAGATGCTAGGCAAGCTGTTTGACCAACCTGGTTAGGAGTTTCTGAAAGGCCTTCACTGTGGTGTCCTGGCAGCACAAGAAGAGTTAAGAAGTAGGAACAATCCCATGAGATGCTGCATTCTGTTCTGCCTGGAAAGATTGTCTTTTTTGGTCTGGAACTCTCATTGTCTTCGCAGTGTGGGACAGCCAGTATGGAGAATCACTCCACATTTTCCTCTCAGGACCATGTCTTCAGCACAGTCTAATATAAGTGCATTCCACAGCACCAAATAAATACATGGATTTTTAGTTCTTGATGTCTCTATCCTGAGCCTTGCTAACTGCGCTATTCCTCAAGCATAGCCCTCTCAGTAGGTGGCACGAGGAGGCAGCATTTGGGAAGTGAATATCGTTTAACTGGATGTGAGAGCAGATGGGATGGCATGGGCTGCTGAGGTGTGAGGAATGCTTTCCTGCATCTCTCGCCATGTCCATATGCCACTGTGTTCTGAGTGAGAGAAAGTAAGTTGCAGTAGCTTTTTACATGGTGGTCTATCAGGTTCTCACCCCTGTCCCAGGGGAATGAAGTGGTCTTGTACAACTGCAGAGGGCAGCCTTTACCTGCAGTCATTTGAGCAAGCAGGGCAGTCAACATGAACCTAAGGTAGTGGAGATCAGAAGGTGAATAGTGTCTCAGGGTAAGAACAGGTCTAGGTCCTGCTCACAAATCACTGGTGTCTTGACTGAGCTAAGTTTGGCCAAGGCCCATATAACATTCGCTGTGGTGATGACCCCAAGGGTGATGGAAAGTGGGGCTATTGACAGCTGACAGTTACAGCTGTAATGACCTCTGCAAGCCACTGCTCTAACTCATCAAAGTAAAGATAGAAATGTTGAGGCCTGCAAGGACCTAAATCAGTCAGGGGTAGTATCACTGTGATGGGAGCCACTTTGAGGAATCTCTGGGATGGAAACGATGGAGGCATGGAGGGCCTGCTTCAGTGTCTTTGTTAGGTTCTGTTGAAGTGGCAGCAGCACTGCCTGATGAGCCCTCTAAAAAGCAGCAATAGAGAAAAGATAATGGCTGCTATTCTGTCCCATTAATATGAACAAAGCTGCCTGAGCCTGCCCTCAACTCAAATGCTAACTCTGTTACTGCTTGCTAATTCTGTCTTTGGGTCCCAGGTGAAGAGAAAAGAACGTCCTGCTGGGAGAGAGGGCAGCCCTCATGTTATCTGCTTGAATTGCTACTTGAGGAAAACAAGCTTCTCTCTCGCCCACAACCTTTCCAACTAGTGCATGCAAAGACACTCAGCTAGCTGGAGATGCCTGCCAGTAATGCTTCTTTAACTGAAAGAAAAATTCCGGACAGACCCTATGGAATAACAAAACACCTACAGTGAAGAGCATCATGCAGGGCACAGTACATCATCTCTTCATGTGCATTAGATGCTACTACTTGTGGACATACATACAAATATGCTCATAGATAAATGTATTGCGTCTTCTTTTACTTTAGTTGCTTAAGTTAGCTGCAGGCTGACATATGATAGAGTTCACGTTTAAATCTTCAGAGTAAAACACTTTGAAAGCAAACCTATTAAGGTTAATAGAATGAACTTACAATGCCCATGGTTAAGACGGAGGAGGGAGTGAGACACTTGGTAAATTGTTCACCAAATAGCCTGTCACCTCTCGGTCTGCAGCTGCAGGCCTGCCAATGGATCATTCGATTATCCTTAATGAGCTTAATTTTAAAGTGGTATGCACATCAAATGTAAAATATCGATGTCAGTTTTGTTATCTGTGATCCTGCATCTACCTTAAATACGTTAATAAAGACTATATGCAGTCTAAGAAAGTGCAAAGGCGTTATACATACAGCGTTTGCTTTAAAATGTCTGAAATTTAAACCAAAAAGTGGTTCTGTTCATTAAGCTCTCTATGCACAAGACCCAGTACACGATGTACAAATGTGCACAGAAATTTCTAGAAAATGTATTTACAATTGAACAAACCTACCAAGTTGTGGTTTGTTTTTTTTGGAGGGATGGAGGGGAGTATCTACTCCATGAGAAAGCAGATAGCCAGTTACTTAAGGCTCAAGGTCAGGTTTTTGAAGTGCCTAAAATGCAGATTAGCACCTATGAGATTTTTGCTGTAGTTGGTTGCATTCTTCTTTTGGTACTTTGTCACCTTAGAAAATCTGTCTCCTATGTCTTCAGACAGACTGCCACATCCAGCTGGGCTGCTCATGCATTTGATGAAACATGCAGCAAACCTCTACCTCTGCAGATCCTCTGCTTTTCCTTGCCTGCCCTTTACAAAACTATGTTGACTATGCCACAATACCTGTCACATTTGCCTGACACCATTTCAGATGTTTGAATTCCCTCGGCCATGGCTGAAGTTACTCCCTCCCCAACAGTGCCAAGTCATGCCCAGGCTTCCACTGCAGGAATATTCTATCAGGGACATTACTAATAGGTTTCTCACCATGATATCCAAATACCAATGAGGAAGATGTTTCAAATTGAGATTCAATATGTATCAGCCCAGTCATGGGGGTATAATCACTAAAGATCACTAAAGCACCGTTATTATTCACATTCCAAGGTTCTGCCTATGAACCGTAAAGGACAGACAGGAGATTGACAGCACAGCTGGAAAAAAGGAAGAGATGGGTAAAGCTGCTAGCACAGAGCTCAAGAGAGGTTTCTCTGTATAGCAAAAGTGGCAGTGGAACAGAAGCAGGAAGGGAAAACCAAGATTAATAGCAAGCTTTGGCAGCCTCGCAATAGCAGAAGTACCAAACGATAGTGTAATTCCCGTGAACTTAGTTGTAGGTTGCCGTTAGCACATGTTCATTTGTAAACCAAAGCACTCCTTGTGGAAGCATGACATGTACTTTTGCCTGGCTTGTTAATTTCACCTGTGAAATCTGTTCTGTAGACTGGGATAAATTCACAAACGTAACCAAGGTCTTAAATCAGTATATTTTAGAACACCAATTTGTACTGGCTTAATTAGCACTGGGACATGCTACCTGACAGTTTTTATTTCAACTAGTGCAATTTGGTATTTAGGCAATTCCTCTAGCCCAATGCTCCAAAGTATTTAAGCTTTAAAAGGCTTAAAATTAATACTTTACCTGAACATCACTACTGATCAGGATCTCTATACTTTGTGTGTTTCCTTTATTTTTTCTCTTGTTTTAATATTTGTTTCCTCATTCCTTTCTTTTCCTCCTTGTTGCTCCCCTAAGTTTTTATTCCCTTCTGTTGAGTTCTGACCTTGTCTTCCCATGGGTCTTTCTACCTGAAATAATGGAGCAAAATGACTTTAGCAAAGCTGATTAATATTATTTCCTGCCTTGGCAAGAAGAGGAGAAGGGAATACTCTTGCAAATATCACCTACTTAAGATGCTAAGCCAAATAAATCTGTGTTACACTTGAGGCTATACACTGCAAGTGGTGTATCCCAAGAAAAGCTTAACTTCTTTGCAGGGAGGAAGAAATTGCTGACTCTTGCTGAAACTCTTTCCTAAAGATCTTTAATCTGGGATATGACTCCTGGCCCAGCTCAATATCATTTTAATGCAGGCCACAATTACAAAAGGTGCACCCTTTCTGTCCCCTTGCACCCCATTTCCCTCATGTAGTTATACTCAGGCTTTTACTCCATATCTGTTATTTTAGGGTGTATCTGTCACTGGAGCAATGACCTTAAAGCTGCGCTAAAGAATAAGTTGAGGGGCTGTTAAAGCATTCTCAAATTTGTTGCTAGCTATGAATAATGTTTTTGTTTTTGCCAGCTGCATCATTAGAGAAACTGATTTCATCATGTAGTAGATTTGTATGCCCCAAGTAGAGGAATTGGTTACACAAGAATATTTTATCAGGCTTGTAGGCCAGTTTTAATTAGAGGTAAACTTTACTTCAGCAGTGATGCTCTGAGATTTAAGACCAAAACAAAACTGAAACCCCCTCAGTTCTATGGAATTAGAGAGTAAAGATACAGTATTGGGTTGTTTACTTCATTCTCACTATGGAATATGTTTTACCACTCCTACTGTAACGTAAAATATTTACTCTGACCATTAAGGCAATGAAAGCATGGAAAATGTGAGGAAGAAGTAAATATCATGAGTATAGTAAATAACACACACACAACCAAAAGGCAGACAACAAACCATAATAAGTCATTACATTCTTTAGTGCCTATGGTAATTTAAAAGCATCCTGTATTCTGGAATACAAGCTTGCCATCACAGCATAATATGTTGACTCAATAGCAAATCAAATCAAGAGAGAAAACACTTCAGAAAGTCTCCGTCGTTACTCAGACACTGTATTTGTAGAGTATGTGAACAAGAAACAAGCCCAGTGCTATTTCTTCATAGGTTAAAATGATGTTTTAGTCTGGTTTGCAAAGGAAAAGATGCTTTTCAAGATTCTGTGAAGTAAATCAGGAGGATCTGTACACATGAAATCATGTGGAAAGGTGAGAAAATAAGAGAATTTGGGCCCCTGGTAATCGCTGAATTTGCAGCTCAGTTTCCATCAATGTTGACAGAGAAATGGGTAAGTTTCTTCAAGTTTCATGATAAAAGCCATGACGAGGGAAGGAAAATTCAGATTGATATGTTGTAAGCCACTGGGGAATCCGCCTGGGAGAGCTCACTTTCTAAATTTCACAGTATGGGAGGCAAGATTTATTAAGAATTTACAATGTCTCATCACCAATTGCCTGTACATGAGGATTTTAGCACACCATTCAAGTAAGGGAGAATCAAGTTTGGGTTTGAAAGGCAGTGGCCTAGTAAATTAAAGCTTTGATGAGGAATATCAAGGAATAGGGAAAGACAAGTTTACCCTTGATATGGATAATATCTGGCTTTTGCTAATTGGAGAGCAAGGCACTAAGCTTTGTGGTGCAGCTTGTTAGAACCAGAGCATGTTTTAACTAACTAGAAGGAATTAGAACTGCTTCAGCACTTAGTCAAGATATGTTGCAAGACTGGTCTCTTTACCGTATTTGGTATGTACCATAAAACAAAATAACTCACAGTTTTGGTACCATAAGTACAAATGCAGCTATGTTAATTCAGCACCAAATTTACTGTTGGGTTATTTTGTTAGCATCAATATCTTGTTATGGGCAAAAGAAAGCACACTATCCATTGAGATAAGAATTCATTGTTACTCTTTTAGCTGTCCAATGGTCCCTAATTATCTCAGTAACAGAGAAAAACCTCATTGACGGTGCAGCTACATTTTTTAGACAAAACAGCCAATACCAATCCTGTTCTCTGGTGTTATGTTCACTGTTTAGTTGCAGCATTAGGGTCCTAAGGTTGACCATTTCAGTCTCCCTCATCTCATGCTGGTGGCGGTAGAGTTACAACACACCACTGTCATTCTGAAGTCCTTGCTGGGAGGACCTTAATGGTGGGATTTTCCTCCTTCTTCAGTCTTGGGTCTACGTGGGACTAATTGTTAATTTTCTCATCCCAATCTCATTCCTCTTCATCACATCCCAGCCAAACTTTGAAAGCTGCACACAGCCTCACTTAATCAAAGCACTGCTGTTGAGTACACAAGGATAGTGGGGTCTGTCTGTGCTTTTCTGACCATGAGACTCACTGAGCTAAAGCCTATCCATCTTAGGCACCAGTCAGGTAACTGCTGGAAGGTGTTAACCAAGCTACAAGCTCAGGCCAAGACAAACCCCGTCAATCCCGAGACTCTATATTGTCAGGTTGACATAAAGCTGTAGCCTCTTATTAGTGCTGGCAAAATATCATGTTCCCTGTCCTGAAATGGCTCATATCATTTTTACCAGGCTACAGTTTATGCCATATATAATTAATTAATGTATAAATCAGCCAGTAGGATGATAAGACGGCTGTTAAAGAATGGCTGTTTGGAGCTGTTCCCCAAGGTGATATCACAATGGCTGTCATTCACATTATCTCTGCAATGCAGCGGGTAGGATGCTCAGGAAGTCTGCTGCTTGTTACAACTGACTTTGATTTTAAAAACAAAGAAAGTAGCTCATAATTTGCCTCTTTTTTTCTTTTTTTCCCCCATTTCTTTTCTATTGCAAACACAGCTCCCTTCAGTGACCTCATCTGCAACTCTATGGAGGGATGAACGTAACAAATCTTAACAAACTAGCAAAAACTGAATGACAGGAATGAAAACTTCAATAAACTGTCAGTTTAATGAAGTAGAAGATCTGGTTTCATTAGTTCCAAGGTTCACAAGACTGTTTAATGTGTAGCGCCTCAGGCTGGATAAAATTTGCTCAGAGCCTCTCCTATAGTGGTTACACAAATTAAGATCCTCAAAAGAGTGCTGATGATGGAAGGCAGCTCATAGAGGGCTGCAATGTGCAAAATACAGTAAGTAAAGAGCTCCATCATAATATGGCACTGACAACTCTTGTACTGGATTACTATATAATAAATCTGATGCTGTTTTGCCCACCTCTTTCAGTAGTTAAAAAGAAACCAAACCTCCAAATGAGTCCACCTCAACACAAAGGGGTGCCGTAGCTGTCAATCCAGTGGGACTGCAGCCTTTCCCAAAGAACTTAGATCTCAGTCTTTTCAGTCCTGATCTTCCAACTGAGAGCACAGTATTGCTTTTCTTTTTGGGTGTCTGATGATGAGAAGAAAAATCAGAATGTATGTAGAGCAAGTATTAACAGTACCATGCAGCAGGAGCTCTACCAGCACTGCAGGAGCAGAAAACATTTCTTTGCCTGTCCAGCAGGAGCTCTAAGACACCTTCTAAGCACCAATCCCATTATCTAAAGTGAACAGGTAAGTTAGAAAGAGAGAAAGACAACTAACCAGAAAAAAAGTGGGTTGAAGCATTTCATATTCTCACACAAACTTTTATGCTTTAACTACTACTTTAGAAATCAAATGAGCAGGACATGATTGGTGGATAGACCTCCCACTTAGTCGAGGACTGGGGGTGTTTGATTCATGTGGAGAAAAGGGTGAAAAGCACTGTGTAAGCCTCCTGAGTACAGAAGAAATGCATACAGGAAACAGAATACTGGGGTTTTTTTTTGTGTTTTAAAGGTACATGCACTAGGAAGTCTGATCTCACAGCTATTCATCTTCTCAAATGACAGTATTAGAACATCTTTTCCCCCTCCACCCTCCTTCCCATCCATTCACTTTAGATTTTTCCACAGTCAGAAGCTATACAACTGTCCAAATCCGTACAACACCATGTGTTGCTCTTTCCTTTGCTTTGGCTTATAGCCAACACCCTGATTATTTTGGATAGAGCCATTCATACCACCATTGCTCCTGAGAATAAATGATAATCACTGCTCATTTGTCTCCCACTACTGAAGCTGTGTAACTTGGACCATGGCACCATTCAAGTGAAGACAAATTTTGGCAGCTCCTCCTTATTATTCATTTCCACAGTGACTTCTCATCAGCAAGTGGTGTCCACACAGTGATGAAAAGTGGGCTTAAATTTGGAATTTTATTAGTGTTTACTTACAAATGCTAATGCCATTGCCAAAGACTATTGGGAAGGTATTAATCCTCCTAATATCTTTCAAAACCTGTTTAGTCTATAGTGAACAGATCATGAACCAGATTCTAAGCTCAGTCATTATTTAAAACAAGCTCAGTTTAGTCAACTTTCAATTTCCAGCAGTAACCAAACTGAATTCAAACCCTTCATGAAGCCTGTACTCAAAGTTTGATTCAGAAGATGGCCTGGCTGGTGCAGTAACACTGAAAGCTCCTACTTGGGTGCTCAGCTGGAGACTGTGCTCTAATGAGTTAATGAATTGTTAAGAGCTTTAGATAAAATACTAACAGCTTAAAGAAAGAAACAAATGTATGTGTTAAAGGATTTTCAACAACCTATTTAATATAAATAACTTCCCTCAGTCCTCTCTTTACCCCTGTTAATCATTTGTGTCTGGCTTTATTGCACTACCTCTTCTCTCAGCAACCACCATAGCTCCCTTCTCACCAAGAGAAAGACAAATAGTTTCAAAAAGAGCTTTGTGTATGAATTTCCAAAATCCAATGCCTTTTTTTTTTTTCCTTTGTTCATAAGGAATTTGAAGTTACTTATCCAGTGTTTTCAAAGCCAGGCTTCCTGGGCTTCCAAACCTAGGGAGCTGCTGATGCAGGAAGAGATGGTGCAAGCGGCATTTCTGAAAGTGATTACTTCTGAGAGAAACTAAGGCCAGTTCTTCAAGAAGGAAGTCAAAAAAGTGAATAAACAGAGAAAGGAAAAAAGAGAAAAATGAAAAAGGAGTAGATCTAGTC